GTATATTTTAAGAAGATACTTGGTTGATACCTAGAACTCTGGCAGCAACCCGTATCAACTATTAGCACCAATCACTGGTATTTGTGATACATTTTTAAATGTTCAGTTGACTGAGTTTCATGTTTAATGAATAAAAGATAATAATAGTAGTAATAATAATAATAATAACCTTTATTGTCATTGTACATATATACAACAAAATTGATTTTGCTCCTGCAAGTGCTCTCCATAACAAAATGCAATACAACATAAATAATATAGAAAATAGTCCTTATGCAAGTAATTAGGGGGAAACCAGTCCTATGTTTCCATGTATGCATGGAGTGATTGTAATTGTATTTACAAATCTGACAGCCCATGGATAAAAGCTGTTTTTAAACCTGTTTGGCTGGTTATACTTATGTATCTTCCGTCCGATGGTGAAAGTGAGAAAAGACACTGACCAGAATGTAAATCATCCCTAAGTATCTTCCTTACTCTGCTGAAACAACCAGACCTGGCGATGTCATCCACTGGTGTTAGGGGACAACCAATGGTTTCTTTTGTTGAATGTATCACTCTCTGTAGTGCCTTCCCGTCCACAGATGTTGAACCAGCATACCATACTGTTATACAGCATGTAAGGATATTTTCTATCGTGGACTGATAGAAAGAGGTCAGCAGCCCTTATTCCACCTGATTTTCCTGCAGGACTTTAAAAAACTGAAGTCTCTGTTGAGCCTTCTTAACCACCAGGGACATGTCGTATTTCCAGATGAGGTCTTGATTAATAAGCACTCCCAAGAATTTAAAAGAGGAAACCCTCTCCACATAGCCCCCCCTTGATATACAATTGGGCAAGTTCTTCTCTGTGCTTCTAGAAATCTAGCATCATCTCCTTTCTCTTGCTAGAGTTTAAATGTAAATTGGTTTTTAAACACCATGTGAATAGCTTCTGGACTTCTTCCCTGTATGCTGATTTGTCCCCTCCAGTTATAAGACCCAGCACCGTTGTATCATCTGCGAACTTTATTATGATGTTGGATGGATCAGAGGATATGCAATCACATGTATACAGTGAGTACAGGTAGGGGTTGAACACACAGCCCTGAGGGGAGCCCTGAGGGGTGGACCCTTACTATTTATGGATGGTCCATCAGGAAGTCTTTAACCCAGTCATAAGTGAGGGAAGGGAAATTCAGTCAGCTTTTCAATGAGGATGCCTGGTAAGATGGTATTAAAGGCCAAACTATAGTCTATAAAAAGCATTCTGGGACTTCCGGTTTGTCGGCTTCGCGAGCGGCAGGGATTTGCGAAGCTGCGCGATCCCTGCTGCACTAGCCGCTTTTGGGGCTCCGATCCGGACGGGTATGGAGCTAGGCTGCCCTGCAGGGGCAGCTGAAGGTAGGGGGGATCCGGAGAGGGGTTTGGGGGTGTTGCAGACCCCCTCCCCGGCCGGCAGAACCCCCTTTTCCCAAGACGGTGCAGCGGCGGTCCGTAATGGCCGCCACAAAGAAGCTGGCAGCCGGGTAAGAATGCGCAGGAGGAAGTGGAGAAAGTTTTTGACTCTAAGACATATTTAACAAAATTCCTGAAAAGTATGATTTTCTGAATGATACCTTCTAGAAGAGGAAAAAAGCGGCAGTTTGATGGTGCTGAAAGGAAAGCTTACCCTCTTTTCCTACGGAATAAATAAGTGAATATTAAGAAACCTATTTTTTTTTAGGTGAAAACTGGCTTTAAGCGATGAGTGGGAAGAGAGAGGACTAAAAAAAAAAATATTTGTATGCTAAGACTTTGTTGGAGGAGATGCCTTAAGGATTTGAAGACTAAAATATATTGCAATAAGATTTTAAGAAACAGATTTGGACTTTCTTTTTCTCTGATTGATACTACCCCAGGAGGAGAAAGTGAGAACTCTGCCTTGGTTTGGACTGATTGATAACTTTGGGACTGTTTCATTTTTTCTTTGGAATATTCTGGTTGTTGTAAGAAGAAAGAAGGGGAAAAGAAAAGAAAAGATTTATAATGGCTCTTTCTATTGAGGAACTGAGAAAAGATTATGAACAAGCAAAAAAAAATGGTAAAGCTGGTTTGAAAGAAGCCTTCCTTTTTTTAGAAATGGCGCTTATTAACTATCAACAAACATTACAACAGATGAAAACAGCAGAAGAAGAAGGAGAGGAAGCCATTTTTAATAAATTTCAGAACTCGACCAAGAAAGAAGGAAGAGGGAAAGGAAGAGAAATAAAGGACTTAAGATTTAAAAAAACACTTAAAGGGAAAAATAAGGTGCAAAATCAATATAATGATAGTAAACAAAAGGGAAAAGGAATACGACAGAAGGGAAGCCAGTAAGGCAGAGGCTAGAAGAAGGGGGGGTAGAAAGGTTTGTTGGGAGAAGAAAGAAAGGGAAAAGGTGGAGAAAAGCTACAAAGTTTTGAAATTAAATGGGAAAAAAGGAATCTTTTTTAGGGATAAAGGATAAAGTATAATTTTTTCAAAGAGATTTTGCAAGGTACATAAGATGATATTGTAGTATTGTATTAGAAATAGAAAACTTAAATGGTTTAAGAGTTGATAAGAGATTAAAATGTTGAAATGTTTAATAATGATTGGTTTTAAAATTTAATAATATGAGGGGAGGTTTAGAATATTGAGTTTTAATTAAAGAGTTTAATAAGATTATGGTATTGATGTTATTATAAAATTTCTATTATAGTATTTGTTTTTAATATTTAGATCTATTGTTTAACTATGTATTTAATTATTCTGGATGTAATGTACCAAGCAAAATCGGATTGGGTATTGGGCGTTATTTTAAAGGTTAATTTGATTAATTTAGTGGGGAGATAGAAAGGCATCATACTCTGATTAGTGATTTCAGGAGAAACTTCTTTTTTTTTATAAGGAACGAGACAAAGGGACAATAAAGAATGGACAAAAGATACAAATATAATGACTCAAATTAAGATGATTAATTAAGATAGAATTAAGAAGAGTGAAATATGTGGAGAAGTTAATATAGAAGACTTAGAATGGTAAATAAAATAAGTAATGATATGTAAGATGAGCATGAATATAATTGAAGTCCATGAAGAGAGAGATACCTGGGTCCAAGTTACTTTCCAAAAAGATTTTTTTTTATGTTTTGTGTGTTGTGTGTATATGTTTTTTTTTTGGGGGGGGGGGAGAATTAATAAAACCTTGCAGAAATATAGAATGAGAATAATGGTAACTAAGTCAGAAAGAAATAGATGAAATAATAATAATAAAATTGAATAAGAGTAAAGAGAAATAAAGAGAAATTGGATAAGAGGTTTTTGTATGTTTATATGGAAATGGTTTAAAACAGAATTATAGTTTATCTGACTTGTTAAATTTATAATGGAAAAAGGTTTAAACATGTAATGGATAATGATGATTTGTGTGTTTTGAAAATTAATAAAACTTGTTTAAAAAAAAAAAAAGCATTCTGACATAATTCCCAGATTTTTCAAGGTGTCTTCAATGCAGTATGTAGAGCAGTGGCGATGGCATCCTCTGTCGCCCTTTTGCTTCTATAAGCAAACTGATGTTGATAGAAATTTGATGGAAGACAGGACCTGAGGTGTAAGACCAGTCTCTCAAAGCACTTCATCACTATAGATGTCAGTGCAATGAATCTATCCTATAGTCATTCAGGCTGTTTATAGCTGCTTTCTTCGGAACCGGGATGATTGTGGCTGCTTTCAAGCATGATGGAACTCTAGCCAATTGTAGGGAGATGTTAAAGATCCTTGTTAGGACCTCTGTTAATTGGTCAGCACAGGTTTTTACTACTATCCCCAGCACTTCATCTGGACCTGCAGCTTTGTTAGAATTTACGGCTTTCAGCACAGCTCTCACTTGATGTTCATGCAAGGTGAGTGACGAGATTAGCAGGCCACAGAGACAGGTCTATTAACCTTAAAGCGGGCGAAGAAACTATTCAGCTCCTCCACCAGCAGGGCATCAGCATTGGCTGTTTTCATCCTATTGCCCTTGTAATTGTTAGATGTTGTAGCCCCTGCCACACCTGACTTGAATTATCATCTGCCAGATGCTTCTCTACCTTTTGTTTATATTTCTGTTTAGCTGCCTTGATGCTTCTCAAATTTGCCATGGCCTTTATTCGTCTTTATTTCTTGCCTTGAAGGTGGAGTTTTGGGCTCTCAGGAGTGATTATACCTCTGTTAACATCCAGGGTTTATGGTTACTGTAAACTCTGATTCGCTTGTTCACATTATCTGTGTATGTTGCAGTATATGAGAGTACAACATCAGTGTATTCTTGCAGCTCCAAATGTTCAAATATGCTCCACTCGGTATCTCGAAGCAGTCCTGCAGCTGGCTGAGTGCTCCCTCTGGCCAGATTTTAACAGTTTTCCTGACATCATATCCTTTTCCTAAGGGGGATATACTTTGGGCAAAATAGCAGAGAAAGATGGTCAGACATGCCCAGATGGGAGAGGGGGAATGCTTTATACACCTGTCTTTGAATACACATAGTCTAGAACGTTCTTACCTCTGGTGGTACACTCTATGTACATACTGCACAAACTTAGGGAGGACAGCCTTATGACAGGCTTGATTAAAATCCCCAGCCATGACAAAAGCGCCCTCAGGGTAAGTTTGCTGCTGCCTCATAGCATCATGTAACTTAGAAAGTGCTGTGCTTACATTTGCATCAGGTGGAATATAAATGTAAGCACAGTGCTTTCTAAGTTACATGACACCATTGAGAGGGAGCAATGTTCTATAAACATCACTAGAACATATCCATATAAACTTGCTTTGAATTGTAGTCTCTAAAAATAATTAGTTTACAATAAATGTATAATAATAGAAGAAAACTATTTTGTGTTGCTTTTTTTGACAAGTTGAAAAATAGTTTTGGTACTATTTGGACTTTAAGGTAAATACATAAATTTGCATTGTTTTTTTTTTACCTTTTTTATTTAGCAAAGAATATTAACTTTGTGGTTTTATTTTATTTACTAGCTTTGCAGTGAAATAATTAAGAAATACATAAGTATTGGTGGCGTAGCTTTGCTGCAACGGGCAGGTAATATAAATTCAACATTTCTACATACTCAATATGTTGAGATTGACATCTGTTGATTTTCAGAATATACTATATATTAATAGCTCAAGAATTATCCTGATATTTCACTATAATTAACACTGAGTAGAAAGTTGACATTACAATAATCTAGTTGAGCTTAGAAAAGAACCACTTAACTCAGTCAAATTTGATTTAGTTTAGAAGCTATGGATTTCAGATCCATAAAGCTGAAGCCAGTGTATTGTCTTTAAATCTTTATCCTAGCACAGTATAAGAGTTCACAAATAATAGGAAATTAGGAATTAATAGGTTGCCAAATTCCTAGTCATCAGAATTGGTAGATTGGTATGTGGATTCCAAACATATAAAAATCTTCAAGCAGCTATCCAAAGACAATCAGAACTAGAATTCCAGCTGAAATAAAATGTGTTATGGCATGAGTTTCTGGTATTAAAAACTTTATCAATCATGAATACATAAAACAATACATAGATTTTAATCCCGAAAACAAACATTGCTAGGGAATATATATGGAATTAATGACTGTTCATAGTTAAAAGAAAGTCAAAAGTCATTCTTCAAGATAAAGTTCTATAGGCAAGATCACTGTATTTTTAAAACACTAGACATTTAATTCTCAAGTTTATGGTTTATTAACTATTCTTTCATCCCATTTCAAATTTAAGATGAAGAGACAAAACAGTGAATATTAAAATAGCCAGGAATATGAAATACTCAAAGTTTTAGCTGTTCTAGTTAAGAAAGTAAATATTTTTAGATGCATAACATAAAACATTTTGGGTTATAAAATTTATATAAATAAAAAGTATAAATTAAACATGATTCATTGTTAACTAATATTTCATGGAATAATATTGATTTATAAGAAATAAGATTACAAAAAGTGTATGAAAAATGATACTCTAGACAAATCCTTTTCTGCAGTAAAACTTTCCATTGTATTCTTTTTATGCATTTTACTTCCTCAAAATCAATATGGGTAATGTTGACTTACAATCACACTAAGGACCAGAATTTCCATCCTAAGCCATTGCAGTCATAAGTTAAGTTACTGTGTTACTAGATTCAATTTTATTATCATCTTAATGATGATTGTAAAGTGAGTGACTGTGTTTAATAAGCAAATCCACTTTCCCCAATGGAAATTGGCAAAAAAGGTAACAAATTTGATCATGTTACCTTAGGATGCTGCAACCATGTAAATGTGACCATGAGATTACTTGACTTCTGGGATGCAATGGTTTGCAATGGTCATCAGTCTGATTATAGGTCATAAAGCAACCTTTCTGGGGTTATTGTAACTTTGAACCATCATGAAACAAAATTGAGGATTATCTAATTTTAGCAATAAATTACTTAAATAATGCTTGCGTTCACCTTTAAATTTTTTTTTCTTTAGTACATATATTCTCAGATTACTGCAAAAAAGGTACTGCTGTATATCACTTGGATTCACAAATGTTTCATGATCTCCTAACATCTTTGCTTCAGTTCTGTTTGCTGAAAGAACTTTTTCATGTAGTGGAAACTGGCATCAGGATTAAAATATTAGTAAGTGATCCTTCAGTGTGTTTAATAACATTCTATATATTGCAATGAATTTAATTGAACCTACTCTCAGATAAGTGGAGTAAGATATTAATGTAAAAATATTCTGATTAGATAATGATTATTCATATTTTTAATTTATTGTATTAGCTTTATATTTACATGCTGTTTGGATTTTGGATTGCTCTTTAGCTGTTGATCTAGTTTAGAATTGCCATGGTAGTACAATGAGTTTCTTATGATATCATGCCAAAATGGATCTGAAAACAATTTGGAAATGATACCGTGTTTCTCCAACAATACGGCCTCCACCAATAGGAAGGCCCAGCATGTTTTTTGGGCATAAAATCAAATTAAGCCCCTCCCCCCAAATTTAGGCCTATTTTAAAATATGCAAAATAAGGGGGAAGGGTGGGGAGACTTGCCGTTAGGAGTGCCGTTAGGAGCGCCTGGAATTCCTCGCCACCAGCCGCTCCTAACGGGCGATCATGGCCAAGCACAGAGAGCTCCCTACTCCCACCTTTGCTGCAGACACCTTTGGCACCCGCCGCTGTTGCTTTCCCTTCTGCCCATTACGCCGCCACGTTTGGAGCTGCCGCTTCCGTGTTTGGAGTGCCGTCGCCATTTGGAGCTCCAAACGCGGAAGTGGCAGCTCCAAACATGACGGCGGGCGATCTTTTTATTTTGGTCCGCGCGAAGTTCAAAGCGAGCAAGAGAGGGAGACTGCGATGCCTCCATCCGAGATGGCAACCTCACTAGTGGATCACAACGTGGCTGGAAGCCCGAATCGGCGGGATACGATGGCGATCTTTTTGGAGCGAGAGGAAAGGGTGAGAAGAGTTGCGAGGCGTAATTTGCAGGAGGAAGTAGGTGTACCCCACGGCAGGGAGCCCAAGGAAGAAGGGCCGGTAGGCAAGGGAGAGCGTCCCGTAGCTCCGGAAGCAGCCTAGAGACGCGCCCGGGAAGAGGCGCAGATGCTGCCTTGTAGTCCCCAAGCCAACTGCGTGCGCCGCCTTTAGTTATGTGCGCTCCGCGCTTTGGGCATCTCCGTGTGATCGCGACCCTGTCCTTTCCACCTGGCGCCCTTGCTGCTTTCTGGCTCTTTAGCAACCGGCTTCGTGTTTGGAGCACTGCCGCTGTTTGGAGCTCCAAACGGCGGCAGAAGCTCCAAACGGCGGTGGAAGCTCCAAATGCGGAAGCTCCAAACATGACGGTGGGCGATCTTTTTATTTTGGTCCGCGCGAAGTTCAGAGCGAGCATGAGAGGGAGACTGCGATGCCTTGCTAAAGAGCCAGAAAGCAGCAAGGGCGCCAGGTGGAAAGGACAGGGTCGCGATCACACGGAGATGCCCAAAGCGCGGAGCGCATATAACTAAAGGCGGCGCACGCAGTTGGCTTGGGGACTACAAGGCAGCATCTGCGCCTCTTCCCGGGCGCGTCTCTAGGCTGCTTCCGGAGCTACGGGACGCTCTCCGTTGCCTACCAGCCCTTCTTCCTTGGGCTCCCTGCCGTGGGGTACATCCACTTCCTCCTGCAAATTACGCCTCGCAACTCTTCTCTCCCTTTCCTCTCGCTCCAAAAAGATCGCCATCATATCCCACCGATTCGGGCTTCCAGCCACGTTGTGATCCACTAGTGAGGTTGCCATCTCGGATGGAGGCATCGCAGTCTCCCTCTCTTGCTCGCTCTGAACTTTGCGCGGACCAAAATAAAAAGATCGCCCGCCGTCATGTTTGGAGCTGCCACTTCCGCGTTTGGAGCTCCAAATGGCGGTGGCACTCCAAACACGGAAGCGGCAGCTCCAAACGTGGCAGCGGAATGGGCAGAAGGGAAAGCAACAGCGGCGGGTGCCAAAGGTGTCTGCAGCAAAGGTGGGAGTAGGGAGCTCTCTGTGCTTGGCCATGATCGCCCGTTAGGAGCGGCTGTTGGCGAGGATGCAAGGGGGGGAATTAAGTCACCCCCTGAAAAGACGGCCTAGCCGTTTTTTCGGGGCTCAAAAAAAAATAAGGCCCGGCCTTATTATGTGAGAAAACGGTAGATATGGTTAGATCATATTGTCTGATCTTTAAATTCTGTTTGTGATAATTGCACAGAATTTGAATTCAAGCCATTTCATCTATTACATCAGGCTCATTAAAAAATCTTGAACTTGTGGACATGAAAATCTTTAAAGGGATGGTATTTACATTTGCTTATCTTTTTGTAAATTTAATATTTTATATATTGAGGTGTTTTGGTTTTTTGTTAAGCCAAGTATAGATATTCTGGTCAAAATGTTTGAAGAAGTGGCTTTGATGAAAGTAAAAGAGGCAGTACCTGAATTATTTGACATCTTTTGTAAGGTATGATTTGGATTAATTAATTTCTTCTTAGAAACATCATTTCTAGAGACTCTATTTTCAATATTTCTATAGTCTCTCTGAGAAAATGGTATATTGGATATAATCTCACAAATAACACTTTTTTATTTATATGGTATACCAAAGAACAAGAACAGAGTCATGTTTTTAGATTGACATCTATTTTTAAAATGGTTTATTGGCATTTTCTAAAATGCAACCGAAACAAAATAAATTCCAAAAGATGGAGAAGGTTCAATGAAAATGACCATGTTGAAAAGTACTACGTTGATTATAGCTCAAAAATATGAGAAAGGAGCAAATTTTTTGAAATGCAATAGAAATACTGTAGAATCCATTGGAGTTGGGCAACTAATAAATTTGAGTGAATAATAAATAAAAATATAATTGTTTGGTTTTGCTAAAATGGTAAATGCAAGGAAGATTTGGCAGCAATTATTTCAATTAGAGTTGTCCACTTAAATTTTGGCATTTACCACTAGTTGTAGACTTTGGTAGAGATTGAGACTATATAATATTAGAAAGAAAACAATTGTTATTATTTTTCAACACTTTTAAATGAAAATCTAAAAGTGTATGTCATTAAATAATATTATAGTTTGTTGGATATAAAAACCTGCTTTGAATCTATTCGATGATATGATGGTTTCATATTAAGCTATATTATGACCATCTTGTCAATATAGTATTATATTGCAGCCCCTGGTTAATTTAGCAGTATCTGGGTTGAGTATTTGGAACTATGATAATGTTGTCACCAACTGTTAGTTTGACATCCCTAAATATAAACACATAGCGTATATGGAGCCTTTGACATATATTATCTATTTTTTCCTTATATTTGTAAAGAATTTTGCAAGCACTTAATTGTGGAAATCTTGAAAAAGTTCTTGTATCAATGTATTTTTTGTTACTATAGCTTATTGATGCTGGAATGGTTCTTGAAAGTGAACATATTAGACATATCACCAACTTACTAAACCAGTTACATGTTTCCACTCAGGAAATTACTATGCTTATGTCCAGGTATGTACTTTTTAATATTCTTTAATTTAAAGCTTCAAATGGATAACATTTTGAAGTGTAAATGCACATAAAGCTATAAAATATCAATCTATACCAGCTCTATTTATTCATAAGTAATTATGATCTTATTATGTTTTTAATGTCATTCATACCTATTCCTCAATTTATGTACTGAATTGCTCAAAAGATATATGAGGGAATTATCTTTAACTACCAAATTACTGTATACAGTTTTGTATTCATGATCTTTGTAATATGATACTAGAAGTTGAATATACAGGTAGTTCTTGTCTTTCAACTACAATTGACCCCAAATTTTTGGTCGCTAAGCAAGACATTTATTAATTTAGCTTTGGCCCATTTTATGATGTTTCTTGCCACAGTTGTTAAGTGAATCACTGTAATTGTTAAATTAGTAATATGGTTGTTAAGTTAATCTGGCTTTCCCATTGCCTTTGCTTGTCAGAAAGTCATGAAAGGTGATCGCATGACCCTGGGACACTGCAACCATATCAATTGCCAAGCATCTGAATTTTGACCATGGGATACTGCAATGGTCATAAATGTGAAAATTGGTCATAAGTCACTTTTTCAGTGCTATGGTAACTTTGAATGATCACTAAATGAACTGTTGTAAATTGAGGACTAGTTGTATTTGATCATGCCTTAAATATTTATTCACAAGTTTTCTGTGCTGATGGACTCTAAAATGACCCCCACTATTTCACATATTAAATAAAAACATAACAAGTAATAAACAAGCAGTTTAAATTTTAAAAATACCACTGGCACTAATCCTGCTAGCAGTTATACAGATTAAAGGTTCTACAAAACAGCACTATTTAATGACATTCCTAGAGGACTTCAAAGAAGGAACCAAGTACATCCCAAGGGCTAAATCCGTATGTTCAAAAGAAAGGGCAGCAGATAAAACATTGCCTTTAAACCTTTTCCCATCAATCTCTTGAATAGACAAATTATTAAAATTCCTTTACCAAATAAGTGTACAAAATAAACTAGTTCTAATTAAAGAAGACAGTTCGGAAGATAATCATCACAAGTGATCCAGAAAGATATGATTGGTGGCACTGAGTGCCATTGAGAGGTTGATGAAGAGGACTACATCCCACCATCCAAGTCCTGACAAAAGTCATCCGGCAGAGCACTTCTCAAGTTCTTTATATATTCTCTACATTATTCACAATCCACAACAGTTGCTATCCCTAACCTTCAAATTCCTGGGAGTGATCCTAGCCCCTTACTTCAGAATTCTGCATCATAACCACACAACCACCAAATGCAGCATTATTCATGAGTTACATATATGACAAAAAATAAATAAGGCTGTTCACTCTTTGAAACCCAAAATTAATGATAGCTTAATATAGATGCCAGTATATTAATGATAGCTTAATATAGATGCCAGTAATGGACAAATACAGGTACCAAGACAAAATTAAAGGCAATGGCTGATAAATAGCAGTGATGAGGAGATGCTTTTGAAATAATTTCAAAGATCATAGCCATCTCTCATCTTCATCCCCCATCTTTAAAGTATTCTGGGTAAAAAAGTCCATCTTCAAATCTTCTGTAGTACTACTAGATACAGTTTTCTTGGTATGCATTCCGATGCTCACATGTGTTAAGAGTAATCACATTAAAAGTATATTTTGCAAAGTATGTGTTGTTGAATCCTAATAAAATAGAGGAATAGTTAATGATTTGACAGAGATAAACAGTTCGAGCTTCCTAAACTACAATGGTTATTTGGATACAGCTCCATAGACCTCTAAAAGTTTATGGGAAATTGTGTGTTAATGTGTAGAATGGAAAAACTATTAAAAATATAAATACAATCATGTAATTATAATCTGAATTAATTTCAACAGTTGAGTTTTATTTTTGTTGAATTCTGCCTCCATTTTTGAATGTGGCTCCTTAGAATACTCACCAAAATAAAATAAGATTTTTGGTATGAAAAAGCTGCACTTATGCAGTGATTTAGAGTTTGACCTATTGCCTTTTATGCTAAACACTGATCAAAAGATTTTTTAATTGCAGCCTACTATATAAACGTTTGTTCTTAAAGATTTCAGGAAATACATTTTCACAAGGCCATCTTTTGTGATTTTGATTCAACAATAGCAGAATTTAAGGTACCATCTATATATTTATTTTGGGACAGCATTAATGATTAATTATTATGTAAAATTATTGCTGTCTCAGTTTTTATTAGTTTGTTATTTATTGTAAATTGAAAATGAAATAATTTAAAAATTGTGAAAATAATAAATATGGAAAATAAACTTCAATTTTAAAAAATAAATAGTTAATCACATAGACTAGTTTTCATTTTCATGAACTATTCTCTTTATCCATACCTGTCTTTTATGTTATAGAGAGTCTTCAGTTTACGACCACAATTGAGCCCATAATTTTATGTTTGTTAAGTTGAGATGCCCATGTTACCGTTTTACTCAATGACCCCGACTTTCCCTGTTGCAATTATTAAGTAACCTTAAGCAGTGTGGAGGATGCCTCAGGAAGGGGAGGCCCAAAACAGGCCACATATGCTGGGTAGATGCAGTGCAGTGCTGAACAAAGGAAGTTACAACCATGCCTGAAGTTAGGTCTGTTGCAGTGCCCCTGTGATCACAAATGGCAAACATTGGGGTGTTTATCTGTGCCCTCCTCTCACAACTTCAAAGTGTGCCCACCCTCATCCCCATTATCTTCAGCAGTCTGAGCAATCTGCAATCATTTAGGCCTCTAAAACACTGTTTGTGTCACTGCTGCCAGATGCCACCCACCTCCCCACACCCACCTATTTCACCTGGTATAGGTTGTGTCATGCCCCTGGTGGAGACTGACTCTGAGGAAGAGGAGGAACAGCCAACAGGGAGTAGAAGTGTGGCTCCAGAGGTGGTGGAGGAGGCTGGGGAAGGGCAGAGGCCGGCTGAGCAATCAGAGGAGGATCCAGGGCCATCCCCTATCCATCCTAGGGCACGCAGGGAGGAGAGAATCAGGGAAAAGCGTGGTCTACTTGGGAAGAGAGGGCCATGATCCTCCTCATGGGTTGCAGCTGTGAGCTCTGTATAAGTTTGGAACTGCGGTTCACAGACGCTGGAGTCAAAGTAGTGCTTTCCTTGGATGAGGTTTATCTTAGTTGGCATTCTTCCCATGGACTGTCCCCGGTTATCTTCCTGGAATGTGTGATTAATTATCTTGGTTTGCCTTGGAACTCTCATCAATGCGGTTTGTTTTTGGTTTCCATTTGCTTCATTATCTACTTTTTGAATTTAAACTGTGACTAATAAAACAGCGAAGCTAAGTTGAAGGTATTACAAGTCCTTGATTCATGTTTTAGTTTTTGTATTATTTTTGAGACACTATGGGCCATCATAGATTGTCCTGAATAGCCCTATATGAACAGGCTCCGTTCTTCATTAAGAAATCCCCATTAGACCTGGAAGCCTATGGAAAGTCTGTTTGGGTGAGCTTCCAGAGGCTTCCGAAGACATGGAAGGCTTCCAGATGTTTCCCAAAAAGTGCACACAGCTGATATCCCTGCATTTGGTCAAACATCAACATTTTTATCATGATTATGTGGATGCTGCAACAAACCAAACTTCAGGCATGGGTTGTTAATACACTGTGCACAATTATTAGGCAAGTTGTATTTTGGAGGATTAATTTTATTTTTGAATAACTACAGTGCTCTCAGTCAATCCAAAATGTTAATAAACCTCAAATCTGAATATTTAAGAAAGTAAACGTGAGGTTTTGGCTATGTGTGTACAATTATTCTGACATTTCAAAAAAAAAATCAATGATCAATATAGCCACCTTTCTTTTTAGTAACAGTCATAAGCATTCATGGAATCTGTCAGTTTCTTGATCTGTTGACAATCAACTTTTTATGCAGCAGCAACCACAGGCTCCCAGACATTGTTCAGAGTAGTGTACTGTTTTCCTTCACTGTAAATCTTCTGTTTAAGAAGGCCCTACAAGTTCTCAATTCGGTTTAGGTCAGGTGAGGGCCATGTCATTATTCTTTCATCTTTAAGGCTTTTACTATCTAACTACACTGTGGAATATTCCGATGCATGCAATGGAGCATTGTCCTGCATAAAAACCACGGTCTTCTTGAAAGATGCAGATTTTTTCCTGTACCACTGAAGAAAATGTCTTCTAAAAACTGGCAGTAGGTTTGATAGTTGATTTTGAGTCCATCTTCAACTTGAAAAATTCCAACTAGCTTGCCTTTAATAATACCAATTCCCTACCTCCACCTTGAGTCTGAATCAAAGTGGAGCTCTGTGTCCGTTATTGATCCAGCCATGCACTAATTCTGGTCTATCAAGAGCCACTCCCATCTCATCTGCTTAAAATCTTTGAAAAATCTGTCTTCAGATATTTCTTGGCCCAGTCTTGCCATCTCAACTCATGTTCAGTGGTGGTGAGGTTTCAGCCTTCTTTACCTTGCCATGTTTCTGAGCAGTGAGTACCTTGTATTTCTGGGCACTCCAGGTAGGTTGCAGTTCTGGAGGATAATGGATTCCTGGCAATGGTGGGATTCAAAAATTTTTACTACTGGTTCTATGGGCATGGCTTGGTGGGTGTGGTTTGGTAGGCATGGCTTGATGGGCATGGCAGGGCAAGGATACTGTAAAATCCCCATTCCCTCCCCACTCCACTAACCTGCTTTCCAGCTCTGTTCTCCTGTGCAGGGCAACCAAAGGAGACCCAGCAGATCAGCTGGGATTCGGGAGGCAGAGAAGAAATGGGGGCGGGGCCAGTCAGAGGTGGGATTTGCCGGTTCTCCGAATGACTCAAAATTTCCACTCCTGGTTCTCCAGAACCGGCTGAAGACCACCTCTGATTCCTGGTAGCTTCACATTTGATTCTTCTCAAATCTTTGAAGTTAATGTGTGCCTTTTTTTTCTCAACATATTTCTTGCGACCCTGTTAACTGGAATAAAACTTTTGATGGTTCTGTGATCATGCCCCAATATCTTAACAATTTCAAGAATTTTTATAGTTTTTGACTTTTCAGAGTCAGTTAACTCTCTTTTTTGGCCCATTTTGCCTGAGGAAAGAAAGCTGCCTAATAATCATGCACACCTTGATATAGGGTGTTGATCTCCTTAGGCCACACTCTCCCTTATTACAGAGATACAGATCACCTGATATGTTTTTATCCACTAAGCATTCAAGTTTATGGGGGTAGAAAATATGCATAAAATGATGATATGGTCAAAATACTCAACTTGCCTGATAATTGTGCACATGTGTGATGTTACTCCCTTTATTCAGCACTATCATAATTTTGAAGTGTTGCTGGACTAATAGTTGTTAAGGAAGTACTACCTGTAATAGCATAGATTGTTAATTAGCATTCATGAACAAGAAAACAAAGAAACTTTATCAAGGGCAGAGTAGGAGCTGGGATGGTAACAGATACAAAAAGTCAACATAATTATGAGACATCCCAATTTTCTTTGTCTACTATTGTTGGGAAGATCTTGTCTGATTCATTCTCTTGTTTACATTAACTTTTTGTTTTAGCACATATAGTTTCTTCTTAGTCAGCTTAATGTTTGTATATTTAATGCTTATGAGATTTTTTCTTGTGCCTTTGATTTTCATACCGTTATATCTTGTTTATTCTCTGTGTTGTACCAATGAGGTAGTCAATTAGAGGGCTTTTTAAAAATTCCTTAACAAAATTGGTGTCTCCTGAAGAAACCAAATCAGATACTCCACAAATTATAAGTTTACACTCTCAGTGTGATGAAAACATGCAGGATTTGTTTAATTGACTGATTATGTGCCATCTGGTCATTGTCAGCAACCAAAAAATAGACCTTCCCCAGAGTAATTTGCCACCAACTAGCCCAGTGATGGCGAACCTTTTTGTTGTGGTGTGCCAAAAGCATGCACACATGTGATAGCACATGTGCACGCATGCCAGCACCACAATGCAATGCACCCTGCCCTCCCTGTGCATGCATGCACCTCCCAGCTGATTTTTGGTCGGTTTGGGGGCTTTTTCACCCTCCCAGAGGCTTGAAGGAAGCCTCTGCAGCCTCGGGAAGCTGAAAAACGGTCCTTCCGGAAATACCAGAAATGCCCATTTTCAGCTACCGGAGGGTCTCTGGAGCCAGGGAGAGGCTGTTTTCACCCTCCCAAGTGCTTTGCAGCCTTTGGAAGCTGAAAAACGGGCCCCATTTCAGCACTTCTGGTATTTCAGCCTCCAAAGGCTGCAGAGGCTTTCCTTGAGCCCCCAGGAGGGCGAAAAAGGCTTCAAACAGGCCGAAAATCAGCTGGGAGGCGCATGAATGCTCAATGCAGGTAAATTTGGCTGGGGCTTGTGTGCCTGCATAAATGGCTCTGCGTGCCACCTGTGGGACACGTACCATAGGTTCGCCATCACGGACCTATCCCTTCAGATCTCCCATCTGTCTTGTTGTTAATAAAATATCCAGAATATAATAGGTATAAAGACATCCCAGCATTTGAATATCTTTTTCAAAGCTTTCCCAAAATAGCAATAGCACTTAGACTTATATACCGCTTTATAGTGCTTTACGGCCCTCTCAAAGTGGTTTACAGAGTCAGCATATTGCCCCCAACAATTTGGGTCCTCATTTTACCCACCTCGGAAGGATGGAAGGCTGAGTCAATCTTGAGCCTGGTGGGATTCGATCTGCCAAATTGCAGTAGGAGTACTTCGCAGTACTGCACTCTAACCACTGCGCCACTGAGGCTCTCTAATGTTAGTCCCTGGTGTATTTCTTGACTGCTGATTTTTTTAAACTGTTAACAATCAGTCTTAAAAGACAAATGCTATTCACCTTCTCAGTGACTTCATTATCATTTCTAAGATTGGTTGGTGTGGCTATTAGTTTAATCTATTTGTATTTCAGGGGTGGGATTCTACCAGTTCGGACCAGTTCTATAGAACTGGTTGTTACGATTCTGCCCAGTTCAGAGAACTGGCAAATCGTGCCCCTGGCTGGCCCTGCCCCTCTCTGCTTGATCCTCCCCACCCAGTCAGTCTTTATCACAAATGCATGACATCGCACGCATGACTGACTGCATTCTCCCCCCGCCAGTCCCGCTCAGTCACTCCTTATGGTATTTCTTTTTTTTTCTCCCAACGATCAGCTGTTCCGACGATCAGCTGTGCCAGGTTCCCCCTTGCTGTCTTACTGCTTCACCCAGTAAGCTTCCCTGAGGCACAGGAGGCAAATGGGGGCACAGGGGTTTGTGCTGCACCCCCACGCACTCCTTTTTTGGCTTCCTGGGCCTCAGGGAAGCCTTCTGGGAGCAAAAATGCCCCCCGGAGACTTCCCTGAGGCCCAGGAGGCCAAAAAATGGAGCGCGGGGTGTGTGTGCTGCAAAACGAAGAAGAAGCCACACCCACCCAGTCACATAGTCATGCCCACCTAGCCACTCCCTCCTAGCCACACCCACAGAACCGATAGTAAAAATATTTGCATCCTACCCCTGTTGTATTTAATTATCTGGGTTTTTTTCACTTCTTCATTACTAGAATTTGCAAATGATTTGTATTTTCAACTATCAGAACAGTGCCATCAACTTGGTGCAGGTTGTTCGTGTATTTGCTCCACTTTTAAAAACCTTGCTCATTTTCTTCGAATCCAGCTCTCACAATATACATTCAAAATATAAATAGTTAATAAGAAAGCAATACAATCTTGCTTCAGTCTATTTTGCCTTATTCAGATTGTGGTTTCTTGATATGTAAATAGGTTGTACATGAGGACAATTAGATGTTCTGGGATTCCTGTTTTCCTAAGCACACTCCATAATTTGATATGATTGATACAAAGAACTTTCTATCATTAATGAAATACAGGCTGATTTCTTCTTTGCATTCTTAGGTTTCTCAGTTTTCTTTCATGCATCAGTTATGTCTCTTGTTCTTTCCAACTTTGTTTTTTCTTGAAACTATTACTATGTATCCATTGGAAGCTTTCAAGAAGAGACTGGACTGCCATCTATCAAAAATGATGTAGAGTCTGCTTGGGCAGGGGTATGGATTAGATGACCTACAAGTCCCTTCCAACTTTGTTAATCTATATCTGGATCCTTTGTTTTTCCATGTTTAATGTCTTTTAAAAATATCATGGTAGTCTTTCTTGTTTCTTCTAATAATTCTTTATTAAATTTCTTCCTGAGAATGTGTCATTCTTGGCTTTACTTGTTTTCTCTTGGCAATTTCCACCATCTATCTGATACCTAATTTTGTTTCTTTGTTTTTTAGGTCTTTGTGAATCTCTTTTCACGTTGTTTTTTTTAAACAATTACTTTGATGAATTGAACTTTACCGTAAAATTCCTCAACCTTCTGCATCAGTGTTTGTATAAACTTGAATAACTGATTTTCCATTATCTTTTCTTTTGCAATATAAAATGATACCTTTCTCGTTACCACTAAAATGGCAATCTGCTTCAAGCATCTTCCTTTATCATTGCCAAATATAGGTGCCTGCTTGCTTCAGCTGATCAGCTGGATGACTTTGTTCTCTAATAGAAGTATTTATATTCTTGGCATACACTCTTAGCTTTTTTTACTCATAACTGTACATACTACCACCATGAAGCACTATAGAGAACTGTAGGACATACAGGTATTTAATGAGGAAAAAACATCAAAAGCTTTTCTTCAGACAGAGTCTCCTTTCAGTAGTGTAGTTCAATTTTAAGAATAGTTATTGTTAAATAACAACAAATCATCTATACTTTATCAAGGTTTTGGAATGAATGGTAAGTAATTTTTTCATTTTCTCAATATTTTCAGTTATATATTACAAGGAAAAACCTTTAAATTATATAAAATTTGTAGAACTTACCAAATACAGCTATTGATAAGCAATTCTTTAAGTAGACAAAGCCCACTTAAATAATTTAGTTCTATTTCAAAACAAAAAAGCTACTTATTAAGTTTATAATGAATGTGAATTATTGTTAGTAATGCTATTCATCTTTTCTCACTTTTGAACAGCTTTGTAAAGAAAAAAGTGACTGGACTAAATTGGGAACTTTGTATGTTAAAGTGACAAGAGGGTGTAAAAATGCTGATTATCTTGAAAAATATTCATGGCATGTAGCCAGCATACTAATCAGTTCAGTGAAGGAAGAAAAGCCAGGCATTCCATTTTGTGAATTTGCGACTGCAGGTAAAATGAGCAAATATTGTCAAATATTACAAAGTTACATGCAAAGGAAAACAGATTCTCTTTAAAGTTGAATGTGGGTTCCCAAAAGTATCAGTTCAACTTAATCTCCTCTGCAGTGAAAATTATGAATGTATCTTCTGCTCATCATTCCATTGACTTTAAAAAGCAGGAACATTTTTGGTGAATATATATGAAGGAGGCCTCTGCCCTTTTGTTCAATTCTTATCTAATGTCTGGTAGAAAATAAGAATTCCATTATCTGTTGATAGTTCTCATGAAGGAAAAAAGTCCAATAATTTCAATTCTTTTCACTAGATAAATGAATGAATGAATTTATCAGACCATTGAGATTACATTTTTTAACTCAATAGCACTGATCCATGTTCTTTCCCATTTTTCTCATGAGTTATATATAAAGGCAACAGCAACTGCAGATAGAGACTGCCCTAAGGATCACACAAAGCACCTCTAAGCAGCTTCTACAAAGGAAGCTGCTGGGAACGGAGTAATTCAGATACTAGTGGCAAGTGATGCTATTCCTTCCTTACTATCAGTGGAGCTCCTTATTCAGAATTTTCCAATAGATCAGATTGATAATTATGTTGACCTCTACCATACTTACAATTTTAGTTCTATTGAGTCATTGAGTCCCCATTAACTACAGTTAATGAAATACTTGCAGTGTACTAGTGTTAAATGAAACACAATATCCAGGTAATATTCAGGAGCGGTCCCATATAAAACACTACAGTAGCCTGTCCTTAAGATAATGATGTCATAAGTTACTGATGCCTTATTTCAGGAAGTTAGATAAAGGTTTCTCTAACTGTGTCTGCCCTGTGTCTATCTTCTAGTAGTTGTGAGTATAGGAGATCCCCTACATATTTTTTTCTGAGAAAACATCCTGCTTAAAAGTGCCTTCCAGTGCAGAGGAACAAGATGTTTCTGGACAAACAAAAACTTGGACTTGCTTAGGTTCAGCTTGTTTCTCCCTTTCAAATGTCACAGCCTCCAGCTGTATCTCCTGCTCAATGTTGCTACAACGGAGGGTCTTTTCAGATTGGATATGGATCACCACCATTGTGTACACTATTCCTATTAATTGTTGGGGAGGAACCATCAAACCCATGATTGTTCTAATGTGGAGGACTTTTCCCACCATTTAATATCTCTATGAGGAGAAGTCATACAGATAAACTGTGGCAGTCTTAATCCAGTGGTGGAAGGTTATGAGAAGTTGGATGGGTTGAAATAAACTTTGAGTTCTAGCAAAACAGATACTGTTTGTCCAGAAACATACTGACTTTATTTGTCTTTGATGATTGGCTGGGTTGGAGTCATACTTTCCCTATAGGAATGGTTCTATGACCTGGAGTTCCACTGGACTTATGGCTCCTGCTAGAATAGCAGGTGGAGACACAGATTAGATTAATATGCCATTTGCTACTCTTTGTGGATCAGGAAAGTCGTGGTAAAGATAACAGGTTCTTCTCATCACCGTTTATACTACCATACTTCTTGATAACTACATTTAGAGCAACAGCATGATTTCCATTACCTTTCGGAGTCCAGTGTATGTTCTGTATTCTATGGGATGTGTTGCATTGCATCTTTATGAATTACCTGGCATTTATGCAAATAAATAAGATACTTTATAAGCTTTTAAAATTTGCCTGATCAGAACAGAAATGTTTATGCATCTGATAATTAGAATGCGTAAACATTCTGTACATGGATTAAATAGTCTGCACTTCAACTGAAAATGCACGTTTGAGAAGGTCTGAACTCTATATTGTATGTTCCAGGCTGTTTAGGGAGAAAAGTGGAATAAAAATGCAAAGCTGAGGGCTTTCTCTGACAATATGTTTGGATAGGCAGGAGAGGGAAAAGAAGGCACTAGGAAGATCAGGAGCAGGCAAACCAATGAGATACACCATTGACAGAAGGAGTTGAGAGCAAGGTGAAAAGGGAAAACTTTGGTAAGGAGCAGGCAGTGTGAAGGGGAAACAAGAGAGGTGCAATGTATATTTGTCTTGTCATCTTAACCCACTAACTAATTTCAGAATTCCTGCAGATGATTTTTTTTAGTTGAACATGGAAAAATCAAAATGTTCAGGGTTTTATTTCTTCAAAGCCATGGCTAGTTTGGCAGAACTTCCAGAATGCAGTTTTACTCAGCCCTTTATCAAAAGAATGAGTTTTAATTTCTGGATACACCAGCCAATTTTACAGGATTGCATGGATGAAATTAAGGGAGATCTCAATGTATTCTACTCTGATATTTTTCCAAGAAAAAAAAATGGAACAAATAATAATTTCCTACTTGAGGAAACTCAACCTTTGTACGTTGTCTGCTTTCCATATCATATTTATGTATACTTGTTTCAAAAAATTTATTTCTTTTGCACCATTTAAAAACTGCTAATTATCTAAGATAACTGTTATTAATTTTTTAGTTAATGTTGGTGCTCATCGTGATGAAAGAGACATTTCTTCATTAGGACGGATTGGCATTAGTGTCATGTTTTCATATTACAGAGTACACCAGTGGTCAAAGGTAACTTACAAAATCATAATGCTTATTATGTGAATTTTTTAATTTGAGGTGTGAGCCATACATACAAAATCTTACATATTGCTACATGCCTTGCAAGCCCATACATGTTTTCCTATTGAACAGCCATCAACCAAGATATCAGTGGAACAAGAAATAGATTACTCTTCCTATTTTCTTCCAAGTATATGTTGGGGGGAATTAAGGCATTTTTCTTTGTGCAAGTGAGATTGAGATATTTGTGTAAAATAAAGTTTAAAAATAAGATACTTTAAACATATCTCTCATTTGGTGCCTGTGGCCCAGCTGCTCTCCAGCATCCTTGCTCCCAAGCCTTCATCACTCCCTAGTTTTAGGTAAGTAAGTTGCTGTTGTACTTTACACCTCACCCCCCCCCCCCGGGCCATCCATGAACCCCCCCTGGGAAATCTACACTCCCCGCCCCCTCTTCCCCAACCCCCCCGGCCCAAAAACTACCCCCCCCCCCCAGGCCAAAGCAATTTATCTGGCCTACAGCCTGCCATACTCAGCCAAAGAGCCACAAGCGGGTGGCGCAGGTGGGCTGAAGTGGTAAGAACCCCCATCCAGAAAATGTTGCGACAGAGAGAAGCAGCCAGGTGGAATCTCCGGCATCTCAGATCTTGCAGCCAGTTCTTCCAGCCCTTGGTACTGGGTGAGCTTGGTCCCGAGTCTTTGGCCCAACTTGGCTGCTTCCATATGCCACTGCTCTCGCTGATGGCCTGCCGGGAGAGAGTCTTGTGTTACACAGTGAAATTTAGCAGCCGTGAGCCACCACTTTGGGTTTTAACCTGTAAGTCCCATCCGGAAAGCGCTGTGGTGGAGAGGAACAGCTGGATTGAGTGCTGCTTTTCTCCACCCCAGTGCTTTCCGGATGGGACTTGCAGGTCTGAACCCAAAGCAGTGGTTCATGGCTGCTAAATTTCGCTAACTTGCTGTGCTGTGGAAGACACTCTCAGCCACACCAGCAAGACCTGTGGAGGAGCGAAGCAGCAGTGTCTCTGGGCAGAGAGCACATGGAGCATCTCCCCGAGTGCCTGAGGCACTCTCACCAAGAAAGGCCAGAAGAAGTGGCCACAAGATCAAGCAACATCTTGTGGCCGCTGTGCTTTTTCTGGCCCTTTTTGGTGCTGGTGGACTGCCCGAGAGCATCTTACACAGCACAGCGAAATTTAGCAGCCGTGAGCTGCACACTTTGGGTCCTGTAAGTCCCATCCGGAAAGCACTGCAGCGGAGAGAAGGAGCATTCAACTCAGGTGCTTCTCTTCACCGCAGCGCTTTCCGGATGGGACTTAGAGCGAAGTGGAGGCTCACGACTGCTAAATTTCGCTGTGCTGTGCAGGACATTTTCATGGCAGGCCACCAGCAAGAGCAGCAGCGGGGAGAAGCAGCCTCTGACCTGGAGAGCACATGGAGTATCTCCCCGAGCACCCAAGGCACACTCAGCACCAACAAGGGCCGCAAGATCAAGCAACATCTTGCAGTCTCAGCACTTTTTCCTGACCTTGTTGGTGCTGGACAAACCTTGGGCAGTCAGGGAGACACTCCTGAGGCACTGGCCCGACCCAGCTGCTTCTCCCTCTCTGAAATGTTTTAAGAAAGCCAGTTTTTTCCCCTGAAATTTAATTTTCATCACTCAAAGAAAAGATGTTTAGCCTGATAATGTCCTTTTGGTTTTGCTTTATGAAGATGCATGTCTCCAGCAGGGCTTTCCACATGATGTTTGACTTGGCTTGTTCTATCATTTCAGAAGTAGAATGGTTTATAGTACGATGAATCTTTGGGAAGGAAAGAGAGGGAGGGTGGGAGAGAGAGAGGGAGAAAGAGAGAGAGAGAGAGAGAGAAAGAATATAAAATATATATTTTATGACTTATTTGGCACTGATGATTGATATTCAAAATGAAAATTATCTTCTTTCAAATACATTGCAAGCAAGAAATGTAAATAAATATGTAAATGTAAATAAAGGCTGAAAAACTTGCGATAAGATCAATTAAAGCATTTGAAATGCTTAGAAAGGAAAAGGGTGCATATGAAAGAAAAGTCAATGGATTAATTACTTCAAACCTTCAAAAATAAAAAAAATGTAGAAAATCATTGGTTTGTTGCACTTCCTCAGGAAAGACTTTTAGAAAGCATCTTAACAAATTTGAATAAAAGACTAATAATGGATTGTGCATATTTAAAAAGGTAGCCAATTTCAAGACATGAATAAATTAAAATTTCTCAATTTTGGGGAGCCAGATTCCTGGAATATCGAAGTAGTAGTTCCATGGAAAGCAGATGAAGAACAATTGCTTGTATTTGTTGTTGCTAGTCGTGAATTCGTGTTCAATCCATCGTGACCCCGTGGACAATGTTCCTCCAGGACTTCCTGTCCTCTACCATCCCCCGGAATCCATTTAAGATCACTCTTACTGTTTCAGTGACTCCATCCAGACACCTCATTCTCTGCCGTCCCCTTTTTTCCCCCTCAATCGTTTCCAGCATTAGACTTGTATTCAGTAACATTTTAAATTACCAAATTAATATTAACAATTATCGAGATTTAGAAAAATTCCCAGAAATATGCAATTCCTGACAGTATTCAAAAAAGCTAAATAATGTTGTCAGAACAATTGCTGTAGATTCAGCAGAAGCAGAAAGGGTTTTTTCACAAACAAACATTGTATGTTCAGAGAAGTTGCCTGTTTTCAATATAACGAAACTTAATGACTATTAGTCTAATTGGCCTACCTCTACAAGAATTGGGACCCTATTCCTACAGTCAAAAATGGTTAAGAGTCATACAGCTGATGATGCTAGAGTAAAACTGAAGAAAAATGCAAGTGAGAACACTAATAAACAGCAATTTGAAAATATCTTAAATAACAGTTTTATTGTTTTTTGTCAAGTATTATTTAATAGTTTTTCATTAACATTTTAAAACTCTTTCTTGTAACAAAACCTAGTTTTGTGTACGTTTTTATTGTTCTTATTTAAGTATTAAATGTATGAAATAATAAACTACCTTTTGGTATATCTTTTTTATACTTAAAACAGTCATTAGGGCAAAGAAGTGATGTCGAGTTGGCCATGCCCACCCAGTCACATGATGACCCAACCACATCCACCCAGCCAGTCATTAGGGCAGAGAACCAGTTTCTTTCAACATATAAATAACAAGGAAAAAAATAAAGGAAATAATCCACTAAATAGAGAAGACTGCAAAGGATTAACAGGCAGCAGAGATGAAGCAGAGCATGCAAAAGAAACTATACCTCAATTTACTAAAAACATAACTGTAAAAGAAACAAAGATGGAACAAAAGATAAAATAAGCCAAAAAAAATGGTAAGAAAACACCTGTCTGATCTTGATGAATATAGCTGGGACCTGATGGATTACATCCTAGAGTTGTAAAGAAGCTGGCAGATGTCATCTCAGAACCACTGTACCATATCTTTCAAAAATCCTGGTGCACCAGGGAACTACCAGAGAACTGGAAAAGAGCTGATGTGGTTCCCACCTTCAAAAAAGGGAAAAAACACACACCCAGGAAACTATACAGACTAATCAGCCTAACATCAATACTTGGGAAGACAGTGGAAAAGATAATCAAAAAATAGATCTGTGAACATCTACAAACAAGTAAAGTAGGTGTGTCAAACTCTAGGCCCGTGGGCCAGATCTGTCCCATGGGGTGTTTAGATCTGGCCCGCAGGGCAGCCCTGGAAACAATGAAGAACTAGCCCATGGTACCTCTACCAGCAAAAATAGAGCTTGGGAGGCCTCCTGCAGCCCTCTGCCAGCAAAAATGGAGACTGCTTGTGGGGGCGGCTCTTTCCCCTGGCAGAGGGCTACCAAAACAAGCTAAAAGTAAAACAAAGAAAAAGGAGAAATGTTTCCCCTTCTTGGATTTGAGCATCCAAGAAGGGACAGAAAAGGGAAAGAGACAAAGAAAAGAAGAAACAATGGGAAGAGAGCAAGGAAGGAAAAAGAATGAAATAGGGGAAGGAAGAAGGAGAATGAAGAGGGAAGGAAGAAAAAGGAAGGAAGGAAGTCAAGTCCTGCCTTAGAACTTGGTCACCAGCAGACAGCAAGGCTCCTCTGGAGGACAAGGGTTTGGTGCTCTCCCTGGTCTCGCTTTCCTCTGCTGGAGACAATGGATCCCCCAGCCACACCTGGGCCACTACAGATGCCCCGCCATGAGTGATGTTAAGTTGGCCATGCCCAGCTCAGCCATGCCCCCCCAACCATGCCCCCCCCTCGAGGTCAAACATAACCCTGATGCGGGCCTCAATGAAATTGAGTTTGACATCCCTGGAGTAAAGTAATAACTAGATATCAGCACAGGTTTGTTAAAAACAGATCATGCCAAGCCAATCTTATTTCATTCTTTGACCAGCGAAATGCTGTGGACATACTACACTTAGACTTCATCGGGGCATTCAACAAGATAGACCACAACCTACTTCTTGGTAAGCTAGAAAAATTTGGGATAAATAGCATCATTATCAGATGGACTTGAAACTGACAAACAAACCGTACTCATTGAGTAGTCCTTAATGGTACTAAGTCCACATGGAGGAAAGTAAGCAATGGGGCACCACAAGATTCCGTCTTAGGCCCAGTACTCTTTAAATATCTTCATATATGACTTAGATGAGGGAATAGATCAAATTTGGAGGAACTTACCAAATTTGCAGATGATACTAAACTGGAAGGAATAGCCAATACCCTAGATCAGGACTGTCAAACTCCTGGCCTGTAGGCCAGATATGTCACAGGCTGGCCATGCCCACACCCGGTTTAGCGAAGAGGAAAAAACTCCCAATACTTCATGTGACGCCATGATGATGTGAGTTTGACTCCCCTGCCCTAGATGATAGGCTCAAGATCTAGATGGATCTTGACAGACATGAACACTGTGCTCCAACTAACAAAAGGAAATTCAATGTAGAGAAAAGTAAAGTCAAAAGTAAAGACAAGAAAAGTCAAAAGTACACATATAGTCGGGAGAAACCAGGCTTAATAGCAGTAACTGTGAGAGGGATCTTGGAGTCTTGGTGAACAATCAATTAAATATGAGCCAACAGTGTGCAATGGCAGCCAAAAAAGCGAGTGCAATCCTAAATTGCATTAACAGAAAAAAGATCATGTGAGGTACTAATACCACTCTATAAAGCCTTAATAAGTTCACACCTACAATACTGCATCCAGTTTTGGTCCCCACACTATAAAAAAGATGTTGAGACTAGAAAGAGTACAGAGAAGAGCAACAAAGATGATTAGGGAACTGGAGGCTAAAATATATGAACGATTATGAGAACTCTGGATGGCTAGTCTAGTGAATAGAAGGACCAGGAGAGAAATGATAGTGTTCCAATACTTATGGGGCTGTCAAAGAGAGGAGCAGTTCAAGCTATTTTCCAAAGCACCTGAAGGCCAGACAAGGAATAATGGATGGAAACTGATTAAAGAGAGATTCAACCTAGAAATGAGAAATATTCTGACAGAACATTCAACCATTGGCACAGCTTGCCGTCAGAAGTTGTGGGAGCTTCATCAATGGAAGCTTTTAAGAAGAGACTGGATTGCCATCTGTCAGTATAGGGGTCTCCTGTTTGGGCGGAGGTTGGACTAGATGATCTACAAGGTCCCTTCCATTTCTGTTATTCTGTTAAATCAATTACATGTTTTCCCAACTTTGCCCCTATAAAAATACATAAAAGTTTACATTAACAGCTTCCATATTGCTGAATTCTAGTCTTGGCAGTCTTCTGAATATCCTTAATAATATTAAAAGATGGAAAATTTTATGAATGTCTGTGCTTAATTAACAATTCAAACTTTGAACTTATACTATTTCAAAATTCTGTTTTATTCTGAAATAAAAGTGTCATAAATGTCCAAATCTTAGAATAATGTAATAAAATGTTTAAAGGAGCAATATTGCCAAAGTTAAAATAATTCCTAGTTTCAGTGGGATTCATGGACCTGTTATAACCATAGTTACAGTGCACAATTTCTTTCAAGGATCTATTTCTTGGTAAATGAGGTGAGAAAAACGTATGCTGTGCTGTCTTTGATTTTGTGTGTTGTATGCACTGCACTGCAATTGTATTAATTGAAGATATTCCAAACTTCAAAATTGGTTTCAATTTTATATTGATTCTAGAAGGTAGGTTTTTAAAAGGCGTGCTATATTCTCATTACCTTTTCTAACTTGAAAACATGTAAAAGATAGAGCCTTCTTAGCCAAATTATTATTGAATAACGAATATCCATTTTTTAAAATCCATGTTAGTTTCAAGTAATTATTAAACATTGCTGAAGCACTGATAAAGCATCTTTATTTCTACGTCTCCACTTTGGAGAGCAAAACATGTTGGTGCAATTCTGGGCTATCCTGAATAAATTTATAGACCAAAAATAATTTCCAACAGTAGCGTTGAGTTGGCATTTGAATCATTTATAACTGCAAAACTATTATTTTAACATGCCAGGAGCATTATTGTTTCTGAGATAAAGATGCTAACCAAACTTAAGTGTGGACCAATGTTAAAAAGCATGAAATTGTTTGCAATTTTCATTCCTGCTTTCTCCATCTTTATATTAGGCCAAGAAGGTTCTGGATGTGTTTCATGCTTTAAAGATAAACTTCACACTTCTTAAAGGACTTCTTAAATCAGAGCAATTGGTATCAAGATGTCAAGTTATTAATGTTGCTATAGAAATCTTTCTCAAATGTGGTAACCTTGATGGAGCACTGTGGGTATTGAGAGGTAAGTTTAAATTAACAAAATTGGATTTATTGATCAAATGTATATAAATACTTACAGTTTGCTTCTACGTCCAATTCAGGGTGCTGATTTTGACTTTTAAGGCCCTTATCATGGGGCCAAGTTGTTTGAAATACTGCCTCTCCACAATTCCATCTGTTCATCCATCAGATCCAGCAAGAAAGGCATGATGTATGTCCTGTCTTTCAGGGAGTTACATTTAACAAGTCTGAGAAAATGGGCCTTCTCTATCATGGTACCACCTTATGGAATATTCTCCCCCTCTATTCCTCCTTATTTTCCAGAAGTCCTTCAAAATCTAACTTTGTCATCAGGCCTGAGGTTTTTAGGGGACCAGTGAGTTCTTGAGGTGGCTCTGTTGGGCTTGGTTCGGGTATTTTCCCACGTCATTGTAGTTCTTTTAAAGTTGTAGCAATGTTTCAGCAGAATCTCATCTGCCATCATCAGGCTTCTGTATTGTGTCCGTCTGTGGGTCAGACTTTTACAGTGGTTTCAGATTTAAATTTGGGGCAGCCTATTGCTGTGCCAGAATGGTTTTTTCTTCATCCTGATTGGTTGGGAGTCTTGGTCTGTGTTTATTGGTCTCGGAGTTTGCTGTGTTCTGCTTGATGGGTGTCTCTGATATCTTCTGTCTGTTTTTTGGCTCTTTTTGTATCTTGATTGGCTGGCAGCATTGTGTTACTTTAATGGAGGCCTTTAGTGCAGCTTGGCTTCGGGTAAATGGACGGCTATCATTAGTTAGGAAGCTGGGTTTCATCTGGGTGCTTGGTTGGGGTGTGTTTGAGCTGGAGGTATCAGGGGGGATCTGTTTGTGCCCAGGTGTTTGCCTGGCTTGTGGTGTGGAGATTTTTTTGTTTGTGAGTGCAGGCTTCCAAATGATTGACAGCCTGGTGGAATCATCTCTTCTGTTCATGCTTTCTGGTCTTTTTTCAATCTCTATGGCTTCTCTGATGACTCTGTGGCTAGGGTTTTCCATAGTGGCCAGGGTTTTGGTGCCATTGAAGTTGATGCTATGACCTGTAGCTTCCATGTGTTGGACTAGTGAGGAAGTGTGTTCCAGCTTTTTGACTGCATTTTTGTGTTCATCCAGGCGGGTGCTTATTCTTCTATTGGTCTGTCCAATGTATGTGGCCGGGCATGATGCACAGGGGACTTCGTATATGCCTTGGTTTTCCAGGTCAATTTTATCTTTGGGGTTGCTAAGGATGGCTGCTATTTTTCTGTCTGTTTTGAAGGCAGTCCTGATGTGATGTCTGTGTAGTACCTTACTAATTTTGTCTGTAGTACCTCTTATGTAGGGCAGGACAGCTGTTCCATAGGTCTGTTCATCTTCTGGGTCTCTATTATGTTTCAGTGTGTTTTTGTGGATCAAGCTGGTGATTTTGCTTTTGTGGAAGCCGTTGGCTGTCAGTACTTTAGTCAGGGTGCATAGTTCAGTCTTAATGTGTGTCTTGTCTGCCAGGCGTTTGGTTCTGGTAATTAGTGTTTTAGCCACGGAGTTTATCTGTGCTGGGTGGTGGTGGGATTGGGCGTTGAGGTAGCGGTTGGTGTGTGTTTTCTTCTGGTATATGGTGTGTCCTAGTGTGCCATCTGTTTTTTTGTAGATTAGTACATCTAGGAATGGTAGTTGTTTGTTTGTTTCTGTTTCCATGGTGAACTTGATTTTGGGGTGTGCGCTGTTTAGGTGTGTTAGGAAATTGTTTAGGTTTTCTTGTCCATGGGGCCAAATCACGAATGTGTCATCGATGTATCTTAACCATAGTTTGGGTTTGAGGATGGCATTGGCCAGGGCTCTGGATTCAAATTCTTCCATGAACAGGTTTGCAATGACGGGTGACAGTGGTGATCCCATGGGGACTCCTTCTATTTGTTTGTATCTTTGTCCTTTGTATATGAAATATGTGTTGGTTAAGCAGTGTTCTGTTAGTTCCATGAGGTGTTTAGCTGGTTGGTATTTATTTTTGATGATTTCAAGGGTCTCTTTTATCGGGACTTGAGTGAATAGGGAAACCACGTCAAAACTTACAAGCAGATCTTCTTGCTCCACGTGTAGATCTTTGATCATTTCCAAGAAGTGGTATGAGTTTTGTACATGTGAAGCTGCTGTTTCAGCATGGGGCTGTAGCTGTTTTGCTAAGTATTTAGCTAGGTTTTGTAGTGGTGCTCCTCTGGAGCTGACTATGGGTCTGAGAGGTATGCCTTCTTTGTGTATTTTTGGGAGGCCGTATAGTTTGGGGCATCTGGAAGATTTTTCTCTTGGGATGATCATCTGTTGGATCTCTTTGCTCATGTGGCTGGTTATAATTTTCTTCTTGGTTAATTTTTCCAGATATGTGGTTGGGTCTGTGTTTATGGGTTTGTATGTGGAGTCTTGGAGTACCGTATATGCCGGCGTATAAGACGACCCGGCGTATAAGACGACCCCCCAACATTTCCACTCAAAATATAGTTTGTTATATACTCGCCCCCTCTTCCGCACGCCTTCCACTTTTGCACTTTTTTTTTTTTTGAGGCACTTTTGTCTACCGTGGAAACGAACCCCGTGAAGCCGAAAGGAGCAGCCAGCCTTCTCCCAGCTCCCAAGGAAATGAGGCTCGCACCGCCCGGGCTCCGCTGAGGTATCCGGCTGGGGCTGTCAGGAGTTGTTACCGCTGGCGCGGCTCCGCGCGGCTCCAGTCCTGCGTTGCCTCAGGAAGGGAAAGGCAAAAAGGAAGAGCCGCGGCTTTTGCCTTTCCCTTCCCGAGGCAACGCGGGACTGGAGCCGCGCGGAGCCGCGCCAGCGGTAACAACTCCTGACAG